GTTGCTATTTTTTTTTTTTTTTTTTTTTTTTTTTAAAAAGTAGAGGGGAATTTTCTCTTCCTCTCAAAGCCTTGCGTGCTAACCACTTTCATTTAAATTTATACGCTCAAGCATGAATACATTTTAACAGGGTACCCCCTTGAGTGCACCTCGAGAGAGGAAAATAAATCAATCTTCTCACTGGTACCGCATACCACCTCGTATGTGAATGTTGGATTGGGACGAGGCCGGTCAGCTGGTACACCGCTACGCTTATACACCGATACGATATGCGTGGCAAATTTCCCCTGAGCGCAAACCCGTACCCCATAGTGACTTTTTCCATTTTATCCACCCCTCCGCTTTATTTTTTGCGTTCCCCCTGAAGGCACCCCAATGAAAGTAGAGTGCAGTTGCGATGTGGCTAAGCCCACATGTAGAAGTGTACTTCATTGAGCCGGTACATTCCCCCATAAGCTATATTATTCCCCTAATTTCAATTTAGTAGCGAAAAAAAAAAAAAAAAATAGCTGTATTTGCTGCAAAACAGTCATGTGAAAAAAGTTGTCCAAACACATCACCTTAAGGGAAGGCTTTTCAGGGGAGGACAAAAAAATTGTATTTTTTTAAAACTTCATTGTTCCTATTTCCTAAATATACAAAAAGGCTGTTTTAAGAATGTTTCCTCAGAAGAGACAAACAAATGGGCGTACACACATAGAGGAAATCACACAAGTGTCCCGCAAAACACAGCAACAAAAAAAAAAAAAAAAAAAAAAAAAAAAAAAAAAAAAAAAAAAAAGTCAACGTAAAGGCAAAAAAACTGGGCCAAAAAATCAAGGGTCCAAATGGGGGGAAGGTAAACGCACCTGGATGACAATTCTGCGCGCGATTCGAACAATTTTCAAAATGAACAAAACAAATGGGGAAAAAAATAAAACAAAATGGAACAAAACGAATTAGCTGTGTGCATAACAGGGACGCATACATATCACTAAATAATTCCAATAAGAAGTGAGACTTGTCATAGGTGAATGTGGAGATGGATGTGCACACCATGTGGCCGCCTTGAGGAAGTCACGTCCAGGGTTGATCTGTGCCATTATAACTTTGGTTCGACTGTTTTATGTACTACGCGGGCAACTTTCCCCGTCCCTCCCCCGTTCTTGTGTATACCCCAGAAATTGTCTAACTCGTGCACACTACTTCGCCCCTTTTTTACTGGCTCGCTTCATCCCCCGCTACTTGTTCCACTTCTTCAATCATTTCTTCAATCATGTCTTGAATCACTTCCTCTTTTTGGACTCACGCTGTGCCTTGGCGGCCTGGGGCATGGCGGTTACCTCACTGGCACCCACCCGGGAGCTCCCCTTCTTATATAGGCAATATTGCACCAAAAAAATAAAAAACACAATGTCGTCGCCCAGAGCGTTCCACTTGTGCACAAGGGGTATGCGGAGCACGAGCGCAAACAGGTCGTCCATGAGCACATATAAAAAAAGGAAGAAGAAAAAAAACAGGGGCACGCGTTCCACCGTTTTAGTGGAGTAATTTCGCACTATCTGGGGACACATAAAGAGGAAGTTAAACAAGTAGCAACAAACGGCAGACGTGTGAATGATGAAGGAGAAGACTGAGTCGTACGGAGTGTATATAAAATTGTATGCACACGTAAATAGTATTGCGCACATCATCACATAGGGCATTTTTATTTTTATATATTTTTCCATTCCCTCCACTTCGTTCTGCGCCTGATTCTTGTGCATGCCCGCACCGCTGTCAATGCTTGCTTTGTCAATGCTTGGTTTATCGTTGCCTGGGATGCCACTGCCGCTGTCCGCGCCCCCCTCACGTCCGCCGGTCTCCCCGGTGCTGCGCGTAATGCGCACGTACGGATAGACCTCCACAAGTTCAATGTCGTAACGGTCTAGCAGCTTCCAAAGGCAGACGGCCATCTTGGCCGCACAAAAGGCCATCAATATTGTGCAGCTATTTTTATTTTTCAAATAAAGAAATATGAACAAGGTGAAAAGTAACTTAAAATGAACCGCATCCGATGAGAAGGAATATAAGTCATACAGCCTGTTCCAGCTACTCCAATCAAATGCTAGAGCCACCAGATCCATCATCAGAAGGATGAAACAAAGAATACATATGATGAGGCACAAATTGATATTCCCACAAAAGTGTATGACCAAGTCATCTAAATCGTGCGTGACAAATTTATATTTTTCCTTTGCGTAATTTACATTAAAGATGAGAATATTGTACAGATTGAAGTGGGGCAGCGAGATTGGAGAGCACTCAATTTCGATGGTATTTCCACGCTGTGTAGGGTTGACAATGGATTGCTTTACATCATCTTCTTGTGTGCGTTTTTTTTTTTTTTTTTTTTTCCTCCTCTTCCTCCTCCTGCCGCTGCCGCCGCTTTTGCTGCTGCGTCTTCATTGTCTGTCTCGCTTCCGATTTGAAGTAGCTCATATTCATCTTCTGGCGTCATGTGATCATTGTAGTAGGTTGGCAGGAGGTACACACTATTTTCCTCGTCCAGAAAAATGTTGGAGAAGAAGCCGATTTTATTTACGTTGATATCATTATGCTCGATGATGGGCCCAAATTTTACCTTGCTGGGAATGTAAAATTTTTTTTTTTTTTTTCGCGTTTTTCATCCCCCATTTTTAATTCTCTTTTTTTCTTATTTTTTTTTTTTTTTTTTTTTTTTTTTTTTTTTCTCATT